TGGTTTGGATAACCAACTATTGGTGTCAGATTTTTGACCCTCCAGAAACTCAGATGTCTTCTCTATACATGAATGTATTAATTTTAGTCTTTTTTTTAAAAAATGAACCATACTATTGATTTAGATGTTGACATGCCAAGATTGGTACCAGCAACCATTCATTAACTATTGGATGTGTTGGAGGAGAGTTGCATGCATCATGGAGTCTAGTATTATCTGAGGACTTATTACGCTTAACTTATGGTGCTGTATATATTTTCTTGGCAAATATAAATTCTCACTACTCAGACTGCATTTCAGCTTTAGTATCATAAGAAAAACCATGCTGGATCAGACCACTAGTCTAGCGTCCTGTTTCCAGCAGTGGCTAAAAACATGCCACAGGGAAATGCACAAAAGAGCTCATAGATAAACAGCCCTCGCCTGCTTATTGCTCCCCATTATAGGTCCCCTTTGGCTACCATGGCTGGACCTGTCCTCCACAGATCTGCCTAAACTTTGTTTTCAGCCCTTTAAATTGTACTTTAAGTGTCAGTGAAATTGGCATTATTTAATTAATGAGGAATGCAAGGAATCAAAATGAATGCAAGTTGAATCACGCTTAGTATCCAGCATCCAAAGTGGCTTTCACTTGATTGGACAAGTGAGTAAAAGGAAGTACACAGGGTTTCATGTTATGGCTGAGTAGTTATTCTTTTATACATCAGAAGTTATTAATTGTCCTAGCTAAATTGCATAGATCCTATCATTGCTCACAGTCTGGAGTTCTGTAATTAAGAAGGCTGTTACATTTCCGTTTCGGTTCCTTCTCTTTAGAATTTAACCACTGAGATACTGAAGCATGGCAAAAATGTAAGCCAGCTTCTTTTCAAAAGAAGGGATCTGAAAGTGCATATAGCATTTACTAGAATCCCATAATGTTGAGAAGTATGCTAATACATTCTTAGATCTACCGAATATTATGGTGTCTGTAGTTTCTACAGTCTTTCTTACCTAAAGATTCTAATGTGATATTTTGTTAGTGCAGCAGGAGAAAGCATTTGCAGATTTTTCCAATATTTTTTTGTTGACAAAAAAATAACATTGCCAGTCTCTGATTCATGGTTAAGTGAATGGACCATTTGATCGTGCTTTCCTTTTCCCCAGTTCTTGGGAAAACATGTGCTAATGCCGACTGGCTTTAGCCATGGGTGACCATTATGTATATTAATTTTATAATTAATCTATTTAAGTGGTATAAGGGTGGGGGAGTTCTTTCCCCAGGAGCAGGTGAACCTGCTGTCTTTTCCCAGTTGTACTGTGGTGAGCTTTGTCTGCACCCTGTTAAAAAAAATCAATAAAATCAACAACAATAAAACAGCTGCTGTATGTATTAATGGCTAGCTGAATTTACCCTGCTGTGCACTTCTCCATTCCTGCCCGCAGCATCCACTATTGTGGATTTGGAAAGGAGGAAACATAGGATGGTTTGGGTCCACCAGAGTGGTTCTGCAGTTGGTGTGTTTTCTGCCTTTAGACCACAACTTTATCACTATCCCTTACTAATGCAGCCCCAAATCTCCCCCCTCAAATTTAACGGGGGGGGGGTTAGGGCTGCAATGGCAGAAATCATTCCATCTGTGGAAATGCTCTGGTGGAGCCAAGCCATTATAACGACACTGAAACAAAGAAAAGAGGAGGTAGATCATACCACTGGAGATAAGAAAACATATTTCTGCTTGGCATATAGAAGGTCCCAGGTTCAATTCTTGGCATTTACAGTTAAAAGAATCAGATGACAGATGATGTGAAAGATCTCTACCTAAGACCTGAAGAGCCACTGACTGCCAGTCAGATTTCTAATCATGATAGACCAACGGTCAGATTGAGTATAAGGCAGTTTCATGAGTTTATGTGACATAGATTTGCCATTTTTGACTGCCTTGTTTTTAAGCATATAGTTGTGCCCTTAAAATTTTATCATGCATTCATTATCTTGTGTTCTTTCACTGTAGCTAACAGGCAAGGGCTGGACCCCATGCAGGAAGGCAAATCCATGTAGCAGGACCAGCCACAGCTACCTTTTAGGATTCTCAAAAACCCAAGTTTGTGTGGAAATCTGACCTTTAGGGAAAAAAACCCTACTTTTTAAATACCCCTGTAGCAATTTCTGCATGTGCTCCTCACAGCCGTATGAGAATCCAGGCAGCATTTTGGGTTGCTGTTGCAGTCCAAAATAGTATGCAAACACTAACAAATGCTACCAGGAGGTGGCATTGGAGGGGAGGCGTTGGAGGCAGACCTGGTGTGAGGAGCCAGAGCAAGGAAGGGGAGGTGGACCAGACCTAGTGGCAGTGGGTAGGTGAGTAGGAGTCAGCAGGGATCAAGAAACACCTGGCTTGAAATGGACTTGCAAAAGAGTGTCCCTGACCATCTTGATAAGATTTAAAAATGGTAATAGTGTAGAGGTAATACTAAACTATAATGAAACTATGGAAGGAAGGGATTTGTGTGTGAGAAGGGAGAAAGAGGTGTGCAAGCTCATAGCACATTCCCATTCTCCAAACCATCTGAATGAGACCTTAGTTTGACTTAGTGCTGTTGAAACTGGTGGGGTCAGATTATAGTATGCACCTAACTGATCATATATGTTCCATATATGTCCTAAACAGCCAGCTCATGCCCAAAGTCATCTCTAGGACCCTTCTCTGAAGAGTTTGTAAACACTAGCTCCTTGTCTGCAAATTTCTGTTTCATATTTTCTCAGTCACAAATGATTTATTTTTTCTGTTGCACTTCTCCATTCATGTTCAGAAGGTTTTTTAAAAATACTGTATATCTTGTTGGAAGATGCTAGCAGACCGTTTTATTTGCTGCTCAGTCAGGCCATGAAAATAACAGTTGGCATGATTATTCGTTCTTAGGTGAACGATATAATCACTCACTGGTTGAAACTTTGGAAACTATAGCCAGCTGGCAGCTGCTGAATGAATTTCTGCTTTCACCTTCCCCTCCCTCACTACATACACCCCGGTTTGGAAACAATAGTGCATGTCTAGGTGTTGAGGGTTGATGAAAGGGCATATTATCCTGTCACATACACTTAAGATGAGAACCAGTGGTTTGCAGAGATGGGGGTGCGTGTCTTACATATGAGCTCACATTCCTCTTTGAACCAGCAAAGGTCTGCTTCAGTATATTAGCTCTTGTTTTTCTCAACCATGCTTCTTCCCTTCTTTCAGACCACTTCACATGTTATAAAGCTACACAGTCAGGTGGGGAAAGAATAAAATCTTCCTGTGGGCGGTTGAATTGTCTGTATTGTAATGGTTGGATGCGAACAAAAATACATTTATGCATGACAGTCACAAAGACTTTGTTTGGGTTTCACAGCTTTTCTCAGGAAGAGCTTCTTATGGGAACCTTTCCTGAGAGTTATACAATGCCATCCTAAGCAGATAGATATAAAGTTCACTGTAATTTCACAGGTAATTCCAAATTAACTAGTGGAAGACTGCGTTTTTGGTGGGTAGAGAATTTGAGACTGTGCCCACTACCACAGATACGAGGAACAAGCCTCTTGCTCTCTGTTTCCCTTCATTAAATTGACAATAACAATTATACTCCTTACAGGATTGTAATGACGACAAATGCAACAAGACATTGTGAAATATGTTGCAACATTAGAAATGCTATATCAGTAATATGTAACAGAAGTGAAATATGTTAGAACTCTTGAAAATACAGTAGATAATAAAGTTTACGTGGTCAATTTCAAAAAAAGGGAATCTATGCCCCTTTTTTGCTCTCATTTTGATGTTCTATATTAGTGTTTTATTGTATAAAATTAGACTCAGTGAAAACCCATGGTTTCTTAACACTTTGAAATAGTGTGGGAACTCATTAGCATAATAGACCACACCCAACAGCAGAAACTCATTAGCATATTAGGCCACACCCATGACAGCACAGCTCATTAGCATAATAGGTCACACCCCGTGCCTTCCCTTGGCTTGCCTGGGCGTCCCACGGCTGCGAGGAGCCCGGGCGAGCCAGCCCTTGGAGGGAAGGGAAGGTAGTTTAAACTGCCTTGCCTTGGCTTGCCTGGGCGCCCCACGGCTGTGGAGAGCCCGGCCAAACCGGCCCTTGGACAGGCCGGGGAAGGCACAGGGAGGCATTTAAATGGCCTGCCCGCCTCAGAGTCACAGGGGGGTGTCACTCTCCAGGCCTTCCCTCTGTAGCTACACATGCAGAGGTTTGGCTGTAGTGGGCATGGCCAACTCTGAAGCCAGTCGGAACTCTGTTCCTGTGCATTCCTGCCCAAAAATAGCCCTGGTGCGGGAGTTTTCACCCATAGACGTTTCCTAGGCTGTGCTTCTTGCAGCCATATTAGCTGTTGATCCAGTTATAACTGGCAGTGCTTCTGAAGGGCCTCAGGCAGAGAAAGGTTTTCCCCAGCACTTGCTACTAGGGTTGCCAGGTCCCCTGGTAGGACGGGGGTCCCCTGGTTTCAGGCACTTCTCTCCAGCCCCCCCCCCCCCCAGTTACCCCCACAGGGAAGGAAGAAGCTGGAAATAAATGTGACATAAGCACGTCAGGAGGGTGATGCTCCAGGTTTTGGGCAAAATTCTATGGTTAGAAGCTAATTCTACCCAAAAACTACAGTGTTACCCCCAATGTTCCCACCATGCCTACGCTATGTTTATTTCTGGCTTCTTCCCTCCCTGCTCCATGTAAGTGCATCCCCATCCCCCACCCACAGGTCTGACAGACCTGGCACCCCTACTCGCTTCTGAGTTCCTTCAGACAAAGTTGTTGGAACCTGGGATCTTCTGCCCCTGAGCTTTCTAGCCCTTCTGACATGTGAGCTTAGACATGTTTCATATGTAACCTAAATCAATTAATTAGATAAGGGTTTTTGTTTTTTTAAAAAAAGAAGAAGTGTTGTGCTGTCTGACTTTTTGGCGACTGGAGAAATTACTTATTCGGTTAATGAATTTTTAAATATTCTTTAAATCTAGCTGGGATGACAGCAGTTCTGTCAGCAGTGGAATCAGTGACACCATAGATAACCTCAGCACGGATGACATTAACACCAGCTCCTCTATCAGTTCTTATGCAAACACACCTGCATCATCTCGTAAGAATCTGGATTCCCAGGTAAGGTTACTTCTATGTTTCAGGGTTGTCATAATAGTGTGGAAATTATGCATTTCTCTAATTACTAGGAACGCTGCTGGAAAAGTGCATGAACTTTTGGTACAAAAGAGAAAAATAGACTTTCAACCGCAGCATGAGATTCATGTGTTTGCTGCCTAAAACAGACTATTAGAGACATGATCAGGACTGGAATAAGTCGATCGCTGAGTTGAGTGCTGATGGTTTGGTAGTTGTCTAGTCCTTCATCAATATACTTATTTATTATATTTATATCCTAATTATCATGCTATCTCTAAGCCGCTTACAGTAAAATAAAACAGGGGATATATGTAAAGACTTCATTTGCATATGTGTTTTCAGAGCAGATGGTTTATTCTGAACTCCAGATCTGAATTATTGCAGAATGTGGGAGTTTTTCTTCTTTTGTTTAAGAAGTGGTTTTATAGAGGGATGACGAATGAAGTTCGGGTTCTTTTTCAGTTACAGGAAAATTAGTGAAATCATAAATGAGTGGCATGTAGGACACACCATATCAGCTAAAAAAGAGAGAGAGAAAGTATTTCCAGACAGCTTGTGCATTTTTCAGCAACCTCAAACTGTTGAAATGTTAGACAATTTCTTGTTAATAATCTGCAAGATTCCATGATGGAGCACAATGTGGCTCCATTTACATATTTCTGCTTGGATCTAGTACATTTTAACTGGCTGTTTGTCAATGGAGTTCAGGCTCTTCCTCCTCCCTTTTAATCATGAAATAATCAAAGACTGTCCACTCTACCAGTAAGATTGTTTGAAGATGATGATGCAGAAGAAGAGATTGTATTTATACCCTGCCATTCACTCGGAGTCTCAGAGCGGTTTACAATCTCCTTTCCCTTCCCTTCCCCACAACAGACACCCTGTGAGGTAGGTGGGGCTGAGAGAGCTCTTTTGAGGACTGCTCTTGAGAGCATACCTCTGAAAGAACTTGTGACTGACCCAAGGTCACACCAGCAGCTGCAAGTGGAGGAGTGGGGAATCAAACCCGGTTCTCCCAGATTAGAGTCCATGCTCCTAACCACTACACTTGCTGTATCAAAACAATGGTCTGTCTAAAACAGAAACAAATAGTCTAGCATCATTTTTTCTGCAGTGGCCAACTAGATGCCCCTAGGAAGCCCATAAGCAGGGCATGGAAGCCAAACCATCCACCTGTTATTGTTTCCTAGCAGCTGACATTCAGAATTATACTATCACTGAACACAGAGGTTCCATTTCGTCATCATGGCTAATAACTATTGGTGGACTTGTTCCCTGTGAGCTTTTAAAAATAGCTTCCACATGTTAAACATTCACTGTTTGACTGCTAGACAGTTGATAATAGGCAGGCATATTTTATGCAGTGCTGAATGTAGCATGAATTTTGATAGGATACCATTTATCAGGAACTTTCCCCATGCAATTCCCAGGCGGCTGTCCCCCACCCCCACCATTCATGCTGCTGTTGCTGCTGCTCAGCACTGGAGCAATATGGGAAGTAGTGATTTGGGTCAGTCAAAGACTTGAGCTGGCACTAATTATATGTGTTGGAAGTTGGGACACTGTATATATAATACCCATACATACTGTGAAAAGGACTAGAGATAAAACAGTAATGAATCCGGCTTAACCAGTTTGATTTCCCCAACATCCATAAAACTACTCTGACACTGTGCATCGGGTCCAGATTGAATGAGGTTCAAATGGGTAGCACTTTCTGGGAACCAGAAGCAGAAGGCCTGACAGGACCAAATCCAGATCCATTTGAGATTGTGCATTGACCTGGACAATGCAGACAATCCAAAACCCGGTTAAAAACTGGATGCAACAAGGCTTGCCACCATCTCAAAATACGAAGCTGCCATTAGTATTGTAACATCTAGATTAGATGACTGCAGGGCACTCTTAAGTGGATGGTGTCACAGAGCCCATATCACTCATCTTGTTTCATCTACTGTAGCTCCTAGTTTGCTTCCAGGCCCCATTCAAGTTTCTCGTATTGATCTTTAAAGCCATATATGGCTTGGGGCCAGCCTATGTTAAGGACTGCCTTCTCCCATATGAACTTACCCATCTATTCCAGTCATTTCTGGAGGGCCTACTTTGGGGGGGGGGGACCTGCCATCTGAAACTAAGCAGGTGGCAACCTGAGAAAGGGCCTTCTTTGATCATGGCACCAAAACTTTGGAACTCCCTCTGGCAGTGGGTAAAGATTTGTTCTGTTTTATTCGGCATACCCCCAGAGCCCCAGTAAGTCTTATTATGTATGTTTACGTTTTATTGAATTGTATAAATATTTTAAATGCTGTTCTCATGTTTTAAATATTTTAATGTTTAGATGTTCACCACCTCGGTGACCTTATTTGGGTAAGAAAGGTGGTTTAGAAATGTTTTAAAGAAATAAAACATTTGGCATTAACTAGCAGATGAGCTTTTACTTCAACGCTGGCAATATATAATGTGCAAGTGTGGACCCACAAAAAACGTGCAGGGAGGGTGCATTCCCCCCTGTGCTTCCTTTCCTCTTCTCCCTTCTCTAACCATCTTCCCCCTCTTTCTCACCCCCTCCCCTTCTGTCAATCTTCCCCACTTTTCTTTCTCTCCCCTTTTCAGACAATCACTGCCCTTTCTCCCCATCCCTTTCTCTGTCAACCTACCCTTCTGTCTTTTGCCCCAACCCTCTTCATCAATTTCCCTTTCCCCTTCTCTGGCAATCCTCCCTGTTTCTTCCCCCTCTATTTCTCCCCCCTTCCCTTAACTGTCAACCTACCCCATCTGTCTTTTGCCCCTACCCTTTTCTGTCAGTCTCCCCCTCCCCTTCTCTGACAACCTACCCATGTCTCTGTTTAGCACCCCCTCCCCTTCTTGTCAATCTTCTCACCCATCTCTTCTTATCCCCCTCATTACCTTATCTTATTGGCTGTGGCAGCTGCAGTGTCTGGAGGCTGGTGCAGTGGCTGCAATGGCAGCAGCGTCCAGGAGCTGCTGTGGACCCCAAGTGGCTCCCCAACACTGCTGTGGCCAGGCCCAGAGCAGTTTCTGGTGTCTGCCACCACAGCTGGGCCCAGAGTGGCTCCCAGACTCTGACACCACTGTCTCTGAATTTGGAGGAATTTTATCCCCAATGTATTTTTTTTAAGATTTCAGATTTATTTATTTTTTTGCAATCCTGGGGGGGGGGGTCCCCCCAGGTTTGCAGGAAAATCTGTTTAATGTTAGTGTGGCTCCGTAGATTTAGATATCTGTAGATGGGGGCCATACTTGAGAAATAGATATATAGATTATTCACAAAGGCATAGAATTTTAATTAAGTTCACATAAATTATTATATTATTATATTTTGAGTGAAATGGATGCACGTGCTGCTTAATAGTGCATTGCAATCTTCCAAGGCTACGTGTTGCTACAAGCTCTTTGGTTTTTTGGCAGCTTTTTACAAGGAAAGTGTATTTGATGTCTGTAGGTGGCATTTAAGAAGCTTTCTGTATTCCTACCCAACAGTTCCAAACATAATAAAGAATTTGAATCAGTATACAGTTCAGAACCTTTGACTAGTTTTCTGTCGTTGGAGTTGTTTTCCAATAATATGCACTTTCTTTTATACTGCTGTTCTCCCCACCACCGCCCCACCCAAGCTAATATATATTTCATCTATAGCTGCTTTAAGGGAACCAAAGGATGTTGTGCTCTCATAAACAGAAGGCAAAGGTGTGCATGCTTTCTAAGAGATTTTCTTGGTAGATGCTTCTGCGTAGTCATTACTTCACTTCCATTAAAAAAAAAAGGGATGTGCAACTATTTTAATAGCAGTTTTTAATATAACCGTGGTGTTGTCACAAAGTGTTACATTGCCTTGAGTACTCTGATGCAAGAATCTTATTACTCTTTGTTTCTTTGCCATAAAGTTCATAGCTGTTGCCTCTGGTTGTCTATCAGAGCGTTCGTGTATGTTTGGAATTGCTAGTGCCAGGCTTTGCTTTGAACTTAATGATGTGTGCTAAAGTTCTGAACTACCCTGCATAATGAAAGATTGAGAAAGCTAATTGTGCTGCTCCTGTTTTCTCCTCACAAATATGACATTTTGCAGACTAAAAATAACATGACTCAGATTCTGAGTTGGGCCATTACAGGAATGAACTCCTCCTGACCACCATCCCCAGTTCTGAAGTTATATACAGTAAAAGCTTTATTATATGGTGCTTGTGGGGAATAGGGTTGCAGGTTAATCAAAGGTGCCGGGTACTCAAGCCTATTGCTCTGCCCTGCCATTATCCAGAGGACTCTGCAGTGACCAAATCCCCCCATGCTGAGAACACCATGGCAACAGTGGTAGGGCCCTTTCTCCTGAGTCATGGAGGCAGCCTATACTGCAGGCAGACAAGGGAGACAGCTTGAGGCAGGCTGAGGGGAAGGAAGTACCTGAGAATATCAATTGACAGTACTGACTGCCAGAAGCCCAACAACAGCCCAGGCAGCAAGCTGTCCAGCGGGAGCAGTAAGAGTGGGGGTGTGCACTATCCAAAAGGGGAGGGGTATGTTGGCTGAGGAGGAGGAGCTTGCCTATTGTGCTGTGCTGGTTGACTGAGCATTGGATAATCAAATCCTAGATGGTGCAAAATGTCAAGTCCCAGCTGGTGCAAAATGCGGCGGCGCGCCTGCTGACATCGCGGCTTATGCGGGCTCATATCCGGCAGGTGCTTCGCCAACTGCATTGGTTGCCAGTTGACTTCCAGATTCTCTTCAAGGTGCTGGTAATCACCTTTAAAGCCTTATATGGCCTGGGACCCACATATATGAGGGACCATCTCTTCCCATATATGCCCCGAAGAGCGTTACGCTGCTTAGATCATCATCTCCTGGTTGTCCCCAGCCCAAAGGACGTCCGTCTTGCCTCGGCCAGGGCCAGGGCTTTTTCAAGATTAGGGTCCTGTGGAATCTTCTTCAATTCTGCAGGGCCTGTAAGATGGAGCTGTTCCACCTGA